CCGCCGTTGTTGACCAGGCAGCCGTCCACCTCTGAAAAAGGTCACACACGATCAAATGAAGTTGACCTGTAAAGGTTAGCGTGCATTTGAGGCTCGTCTCACAGCTGAGCCCGATATCCCGAGCGGTGCGCAGGAAGCGTGTATGTACATCGATGGCGTCACCTACCCAGGCAGACCACGCCGTCGCCTGTGTAGCCGGTGTTGCAGGTGCAGGTACGCACGCCCGCCGACACTTTGGCGCAGGTGGCGAATGGCGAGCAGCCGCCGTTGGAAAGGCTGCACAGGTCCACCTCTGAGGGACACGCGCGCTCATGAGTACAGGAAGGACAAGCAGTACTGGCAGAAGAAGGAGAAATAAGGAAAGAAGAAGTAGAAGATGTAGAAACGGTTGTGGACGTAGTACAAGTACTGTAGCACAAGAATTTAGACTAGTAGAAGTAGCTCGAAGTAAGAGAGCTAAAAGTGGCAGAAGAAAGTAGTAGTGGGAGCAGAGGTAATACAGAGAAAAGTTGTCGAAGATGGCGTTGTACAGAGAAAAGTTGTCGAAGATGGAGTTGGAGTAGCAGGAGTAAAAGTAGAAGTATAGTCGTCGAAGTCGCAGTCGTACAAGAGAAAGTCATCGATGGAGAAGAGTGCGTTCCCTTTGCAGACGGTGCCGTTACCCTTGTAGCCGGCGACGCAGACGCAGGCGGGGGCGCTTCCCTCCGGCCCCGTGATGCAGCTGCAACGATGGGCAACATTGGGAAAAATGTCCACCACCATCATCATCATCATCATCATCATCATCCCTCCATTCTGAACCAGTCACATGTGCATGGCTCTTGTGCAGCTACTCTGGCCCACATGCGAACTCCACGCAAGAAGAACGCTGCCCACATTTGAGCCCCCCCCGCGCTCCCCTCTCAGAAGTGTGAGGTGGACAGGCCAACCGCTCAAGCACCGTGCCATTCCTTTTTAAAATCATTTCGACTTATTGATGCAACAATGAGACAAGTGTCCAACTTACAACTGCGCTATCAGTCATCGCTTGCTAGTTTTTTTTGTTTATTCCCCAAAACTCCAGGTCCCAAGATGCCAGGTCACTGAGAGTCCACTGACCGGAAATATCCGAAGCAAAATGGCGGTAAAAACACACGCACGCACATCAATAGAACCTACTTGGCGTTCTCATCACAAACTCCTCCGCAGGCGTCGTCCTTGATCTCTGTCTCACACACACACACACACACACACACACAACACACACACACACACACACACACACACACACACACACACACACACACACGGATGAAGGGAGGTTTTTTTCATATTGAGTTGGTTGCAGCTGTGTGTGAGTGTGTGCTCGTATCTTACCAATGGAGCACGATGCTCCCTTCCAGCCTTTGTGACACGCACACTTGCCGCTTCCTGACAAGCCGTCGTCGCATTTCCCGTGGTCACACGCGCACTCTGGGCACACACACACACACAAGTGCAAGCAAGCATTGACAGACATGCATGCGCTCAAAAACCCAAAACGCGTATACACAAACGGATGAAGGGAGATTTTTTTCAGATTGAGTTGGTTACAGCTGTGTGTGAGTGTGTGCTCGCATCTTACCAATGGAGCACGATGCTCCCTTCCAGCCTTTGTGACACGCACACTTGCCACTTCCTGACAAGCCGTCGTCGCATTTCCCGTGATCACACGCGCACTCTGGGCACACACACACACACAAGTGCAAGCAAGCATTGACAGACATGCATGCGCTCAAAAACCCAAAACGCACAGAAACACACGTCCACGTGCACAAACGCGCAGTGGTGAAAGAGATACAGACACACGCGTGCACACGAGACGCAAAAAGGTCAATGCGGACACACAGACACACACCCAAATGGATACTGTCACACACATGCATAACATAGAACTTCCTGACAAGCCGTCGTCGCATTTCCCGTGATCACACGCGCACTCTGGGCACACACACACACAAGTGCAAGCAGGCATTGACAGACATGCATGCGCTCAAAAACCCAAAACGCACAGAAACACACGTCCACGTGCACAAACGCGCAGTGGTGAAAGAGATACAGACACACGCGTGCACACGAGACGCAAAAAGGTCAATGCGGACACACAGACACACACCCAAATGGATACTGTCACACACATGCATAACATAGACACAGGTACACACGTGGACATGCCTTTCCTACATTTCACTTTGTGGGACAGTACTTCACTTATTTTTACACTTGTGTGACAGTTGTTCAACGCACAGAAACACACGTCCACGTGCACAAACGCGCACTGGTGAAAGAGATACAGACACACACGTGCACACGAGACGCAAAAAGGTCAATGCAGACACACAGATAAACAGCCAAATGGATACTGTCACACACATGCATAACATAGACACAGGTACGCACGTGGACATGGCTTTCCAACATTTCACTTTGTGGGACAGTGCTTCACTTATTTTTACACTTGTGTGACAGTTGTTCAATGGCAGGAGCGCCTGCCGTTGCTCGCGTTTCTGTGTGTGCATGAGGGTAAATGTGTATGCATGCGTGTACGTGTATGTGTCTCTCACTGGAAGTGCAGTTGACGCCGTAGCGTCCCGGCTCGCAGTCCTCACAGGCGGTGCCCTGGAAAATTGAAGCACTCGGAACCGTAGTAACCAGGGCAACATGACTGATGCTGCGGGGGACACGTCGGGGACAACTCAGAGTCACAAGCGCAGGCCGTGATGTCAAAGCATTCGCCAGTTGTCGTAAGGAAATGGCGTCATGATATACAGTCCTTCAAGAGTTTCCTCAGCAGTTTCTATCCTCGGGTTGCTATCTCTCTATGTGTTAGCATGTTAGCATTTGAACCATTGTCACGTGAAATACGACCCAACTCCAGGCATTACGCAGCATCTTTATCGAACTGTCTTCGCCTCAGTTTTGTTTTCGGTTTGCTATCGGTTTGCATGCCATTTGATAGCACGTGAGCACGCGCCTCATCCCACAAGGCATCATCGGATGCTTCAGAATTAACATTAAGGGTCCAACTCAGATAGATGTATGCTAGCTGCTAGCATGAAGAAGGGGCAGCTACCTTGGCAATCTGCAGACATTTTATCACGCAGCCGAGCACGGACTTCCTGCGGGACCCCACGCGCTTTCTGAATCGACAGTTGGGCTTCATGTTCTCCGGGAACTGCATTACGATCTGAGGGGGAGCAAAGACACGCGGACACATAATTACAAAGATTCTCTTGTACTCATGCGTCATGTCCTAAATTTTTTTTTTTTGAGTTGCTTGTTCCTGCAAGACTACTATGGCTCATTCTACCGGAAAAAAAAATCGCGTGTGTTTTTACACCAATGGCCAATAAAGATGTTTCTCCTTTTGATGTGATTGTGCTCCACAATTGAGCGACTCACCGGCTGGTATCTGTTTTGGCAGCGGGGGGCTCCGTCACAGGCGGTACACCGGCCCTAATGAAGTGCAACCACACAGAGGGAAAACACTGTGACGACACTCTTGTAGCAACACACATCCACGCTCACACTCACAACTTAGAATGTTCAATCCGCCTGCCATGCATGTTTTTGGAATGCGGGAGGAAACCGCAATACCCGCAGAAAACCCACGCAGACCCGGGGAGAACATGCAAACTCCACACAGGAAGGCCAGAGCCGGGATCGAACCCACGACCTCTGCAGTGTGAGGTCGACGTGCTAACCACTGGAGCACCGGGCCATTGATGAAGCCACTCGACAATTGAAGTGGCCCGTCGCTGATTGAACGTGACTCCGGGGCAAGCGTTTGCATGCTCGCTCTTACGTTGACTTGCACGGTGATCTCCTGGGTGCATCTGTTGCGGCGCACGGCGAGGACGCGCGGGAGGACCATGACGACGCCATACTGCGTCTCGGTGAAGGCGCCGTCCAGTGGGACGTCGTTCACCATCGTCTGAAAGGGGCCATAAACAACGAGAGGGCGAACCCGAGTGAGAACAACATGAAAGTCCAATGAAGGAACTCGCTGAATGTTTTTTTTTTTTTTTTTACCCGGTTGTTGGAGTCCAGGTGGAACTGGACCTGGTAGTCGGCGCCCAGCAGCGTGCTCTTGAGCATACCGTCATACAGACGATCGGGAAAGAGCAGCTGTCTGCGAATCACATGATACTTGAACACGTCGGCGTCCTGCGGATGGTAGCGTGTTAGCAGTTTTCGTGGCACTTGAGCATTTTTTATGTAACTTCTCCCGGGCGTGGCAGGCGACCTACCAGCTGGGTGGAGTTGCTGTCGCTGAGGTACTGGCGGATGGCGTCGTCGGTGGGCAGCAGAAGGGTGAACTCCAGCTGCTTGACTTCCTCGGAAAGGTTGTACATCTGACGCCGAGAACGGACGCAAAGTCCGGGGATGCCCACCCATGCAAAACACACGCACAATCACACACACACGCAAAAATGCACATCTGCCCAGGGGTAACACACTTGCATGAACACACACCGCACAAACAAAAGCACCCCCCACCCCAAATAAATGCGCAACACATACACACACTACAGAAACACAAAGCACACACACACACACACACACACACACACACACACACACACACACGGAGGAATGCAGTGGTGTTGCGTCACGCACCAGAGCGGACTGACGGAACAGACTGAAGTTAGGCGATGACTCCAGGAAGGCCGTCAGGGTGGGAGGCTCGGGCGGGAGGTCCGAACGGGACGGGAATAAAACCTAAAAACACACACATCCATCCATGCCATTGCAGTCGGGCGGGCGACACGCAAAAGCTTTTGGCCCCGATGGGCCGCCTCAGTTGCATTCTTGCTTTTCAACATGCTCCATGAGCCGTCAGCATGTTCGCTTGGAATGCATTCTAAAGCGCTAAATCAGGCCGTCTCACCTTGTCAATCACGTGGAAGTAGCCGTTGATGGCAGGCTGGTTCCGGATGATGACGGCGGCGCCGCCGATGAGAATTCCCTGCAATGACACCGTATCACACTTGAGTACGCCGCCAACAGGAGAGGCGGAGCCAACATTCCAAACACAAAACTTGGAGCTGTGAGGCACACGTGCTAACGACTCACCCACCATTCTGCCCCTTCATAGAACAGCGACAATAAAAATGACGGCGAACGCGCTACCTTGCTGCTATTCGTGATCTCCCATTGGGTGAGCGGGTTCATGGAGGCCAGCTTGCGGCCAATCATCCCCTGCATGTCTTCCATGGAGTAAATCCCTGGCAGGAAGTGAGCCCTGGAAACAGGAAGTCACACAGGAAGTTGGCAATCGGTCATTGTGTGCCTGTGTGTGTGTGTGTGTGTGTGTGCGTGCATGAGCTAACCCACCGCAGGATGTGCGGGAGGTGGTGTCTTGTGTTCCAGAATGTGACATCGGCCTCACTCATGTTCCGCAGGACCCCTCTGGCCGGGACCAGCACGGTCAGGTTACCGCTCAAGTCCTCGGCGGCATTCGGGTACCTCTGTGAATGCACAAGCACACACAAACGAGGTCAAATGCGTGAATGATGTCATCCAAAGATGCGGACGTGGGACGGTGTTTACACACATGGATCATGAAGTACAAGCTGCTCAGTGCCGGGTTCATGTCCAGCTCCTACACAAAGAAACACACAGACGTACGCACACACACAAACGCTATTTCCAGGCATTGTTTCATGTTACACTTTCAATAGTTCCAACACTTGTGCAAGTATACGAAGAGTTAACCACTGTGTAATGAAAGAGGGGTAGGGGGAGAGCAAAATGACTCACATTTGACATGTGAGTCATTTTGGGGGGGGGCCCAAGAAAGTGAAAATGGATGAGTTGGTAGGTGCATTGATGGGTTGGGTAGGTAGCCAGACGGTAGGCAAATGGCTTGTGGCTGGATGGGTACGTGGATGAATTGGTAGAAGTGTAAGTGTCAAGTTTTGACCTCCATTAAGGTTCCATAGCAGATGGTTCCGTCTCCTTCGTAGCCGTCAGGACACGTGCACGTGAGGTTGCCGCCCTCCGTCTGCTCACACCTTGCCTGAAGATCCATTTGCGACAAGTCATATGTCATATTTCAGGACTCAGTGAGGGCTTTTCAGATATGTTATTACGCTGCCAATATACCCTCACGCGGGCCCAAAATAACATGCTTTTAAGATCTTTTAGGAGATGGTTGGAGGTGAAATGTCATCAGTAGCAAATCACATGGAGTCAGATGTCAACTGAAAGGCCTTGACGTGGGCATTCCAGATACACATGTCAACACAAGCAGTGTGGTGTGGCGCCAATGCGCATCCTTACCAGCTCATGGCAGCCTCCATTTTTGATGAAGCAGGGATTAATGAAGTCACAATCCACACCATTCCCCATGTAACCTGTTTTGCACACGCACTCGCTCTGCGGGGGCACAGACACACCGAAATGTACATATTAACAGATACATTTAGAAAAAGACCCAAATATAATTTGGAACTTTCGGTTTGTGTAGTTTTTTATTGGGAGAACAGCCTTTGAGTCAACATTTGTGATGCAAACGTAATAAATCAAGAAAAATGTCGGCCGGGAAAAAATATGACATTAACATTAATTGTGTGTGTATATACACACACACACACACTGGAGGAGGGTACAACCAATATTCCCAAACCCATGGCAGGACTTGTGATTCCTATATATATATATATTCTTTTTTTTTTGTGAAAAATGCATTACATTTACATGGTTGTCTATATAGAAAAATTAAAAATGGGAAGAAAAAAAAAACCCAACACTATATGAAGCTCTAACCTGTCCGGGTCCAATGTGGTTGCAATTTGCATTTGTGCTGCAGCCTCCTCGCGCATCCGTCTGGCAGTTGTTGATCTCCACGCACACGCGCCCGTCACCCGTCCAACCTTCCACGCAGACGCACGAGACGTTTCCCGGAGACACATACACACACTCGGCCTAGCGGGAGCAAAACCACCACCCCCCCCAAAAAAAAAACGAAGTAACGAAGAAGAATCTGTACTTTGTGATTTCCGGCCGTTGCATGCGATTGACTTTTCGGAGAATGGGAGAATGTTGTAGCGAAATCTTACGTTGGCGTGGCAGCCTCCTCTGTTGCTCTTCAGACAGCGGTTGATGGCTGTGCATGAGTGGCCGTCGCCTTCGTAGCCGTCCCGACAAACACACCTGGCGCCAACAGCAAAAGTACTTAGCACCTCAGCACTTAAGGAATGACGCAAAAAAAAAAAAGTTGCACGCTAGAACACGTTAGATGGGAAATCATGAAAAAAAAGTAGAATCTGATGAGAAAAGTTTTGAGAAAGAAAATAAAAAGGCAACTATTTTGCAAAAAGACATTTTTTAATCACCCCCACTCCCAAAAAAAATACTGGAAAAAATGTGACATTTCTTCTTGAGAAAAGAAGACGATTCTAAAATTATTTTTACAACATTGTTGTTTTCCTGAAAAAAATGTGACTGAACCATTCTTGAAAATAAACAACCTCATTCGTAAGCGATCATGTGTTTTTGGAGGAAAAAATATTACTTTAGTGGCAAAAATACACAACAGTTTTTCTCATAATTTTTCCCCAGTAAAATGAAAAGTTCCCTCGCTTATAATTGAATTTTATTTCCTCACCAAGAGAAAGCAACTTACTTTAATTTAATGATACTTGGGGTTAAAAAAAAAGTCTATGAAATGATGCCATTTGTAAAAAATATATTTCAAAAAATATATCTTTAAAAAAATTCTCCAAAAATGTAGAACTTTTTTTCCCTTAAATACTGACAACTTCTGGGACTGTGATGTACTACAAGAAGAAAAAGTCGTTCATTTTTTTCTACATTAAAAAAAAAAAAAATCCATATTTTCAAGAAGAACAATGCATTTTTCCCCCAGAAAAACATTTTTGAGGGCGGGGGGCAAAACGTATCAGTCTCACGAGTCAGCCTCACGTGATTTGCAGGCCGTTGTGCGTGCAGTATGCGTTGATGTGGCAGTGTTCCATCAGGCCGTCGGCGTTGCACGGCGTGGCCGCTTTATCGCAACGCTCCCCGGAGAAACCTTCCAGACACGAGCCGCGCCGACACACGCCGCCGCTGCCCGGTCGGTTGTCGCATACGCCGTGGACGCAGTGACATTCTGCCAGCACACATAAATGACACACGACACGCTAAAGTGGTGTTCGAGGCCGACGGCCGGCTTCGACCGGCGGAGCACGCGTCACCTTCATCGCAGTGCTCTCCGTGTTTGGATGGGTCGGAGCAGATGTGGCAGGCCACGCCCTCAAAGGGTGATTGACAGCTGCAAGACCCGTTCCCGCGGATACCGTCAAAGCACTGTAAAAAACAAAAACAAAAGCGTTAAGGCAATGACGCCAGTGACAAGTATAAAATAATAACACAAAAATAGTGGAGAAAATAAAAAATGTAGAATAATTACAAGAATAATAAAACAACTACAAATACAAAAAGGAATATAATAGAAAAAAAACTTTTTAGATTCTTTTTGTGAAAATCAAATCAATGCAAAAAACAAGCAAAAATATGGATTTCAAAAAGTATTCCAAAACACACATCCATCCATCCATTTTCCGATCCACTTTATCCTCACAAGGTTCGCGGGGGGTGCTGGAGCGTATCCAGCACAAAATGTGAATAAAATCAAATCTTTTTCGAATCAATTACTCCATCCATTATTGGATCAAATGAAAAGAATTTTTTCAAAAGTAATACAAAATGAAATGACAAAAATGATAAAATATTAGAAAAACAATGCAGAAAATGACAACAAGAATACAAAAACAAATTCACAAAAAGAATAAAAAATAAAACAATTTAAAATCCAAAACATGAAAAAAAGAAATCACCCAAAAAACTAAATTAAAAAAAAAATAGACCAAACAATAGAATGAAAGAAAAAAAAAGCAGATGAAATTGCAGGTCATACAAATAATAATGAAGCGAGTTGTTGTTGCTGACCGTTCCTTTGTCGTAACAGGGATGCTGGAAGCCACCGATGCACGGCTTGCAGTCGGGCCCGAAGAAACCTTTGCAGCACTCGGCCGTCTGATCAGGAACACAACAACGTATACTTCCTTCTTATTACATGGATTCATTTAGTCCGAGAACAAAAACAATTGACGAGTATCTACGTTCCCTTGGAAGTATTTTGAAAAGAAAATGAGTGACTACGGCCTGACCCGTGTGGTGACGTTGCAGTTCTTGGCGCAGCCTTTGCTCGGCGACCGATGCAGAGGGGACGGCGTGTAGTCGCAGCCAATCAGGTGAGTGTCCTGAACAACATGGCATTTGGTTGGATGGATGGATGCATGCATGCATGTAGACATGGACGGACGGATGCATGGATGCATGGGTGGATTTTTACCAGTTCAGTGCTGCCAACCGGACAGGATGTCTCATACAGGTAACTGCAGTGAACACACGGACCCTGAAAGAACACAAGTGAGTATTTTTTGTCTCTGTGTACACTCATAAAGCTGTGTATTTTGATGAGTGTGTGTGTGTGTGTGTGTGTGTGTGTGTGTGTGTGTGTGTGTGTGTGTGTGTGTATGCGCGCAGAGGTCCTGACTTGTGCGATTTTGCTTTGGACGTCATCACATCTGTGCGGCATGATGGGCAGGATGGTGGACGGGTAGAGGAGGCCGTCAATCAAGTGGATGATGCCGTTGAGCACTCGGTTGTTGGGTGACAGCACGCGCACGCCCTTGCCGCCCAGCAGGAGGTTGCCCTGAGAAAGGAGAAAAGAGGTCGAGTAGCAGTGGACGGCAGGGGGCGCCGTCAGATTAGCGTGGGCTCCCCACAAAGACAGCCAGGAGAGCGGCTCACCTCAGCGGACGTGGAGATGGTCAGCAGCTGATTGGCCGTCGTCTCGATATGAGGAAGAGACATTAAGTCATCGGACGTCAGCTATGGAGACAACAACAACAACAACAACATTTTCAACTTGATTTGGAGTTAGAATTTCAGAAATTGCATTATAAGTATGAAAAATAGTTTCAGGAGAAATCAAATGAAGACTCAAATTTAAAAATCTGCAGGAAAACATCAAAAGATTATTTATTTTTCCCCGGTTAAATCGATTTATTATGTTTAATATCTTATATTTAAGAAAAAATACTTTCATAAATAGATTTTACTTTAACAATGTGCTTTAAAAAATAGAAAATGATTACATTTTGTTGTTTTTTTTTTAATTTAAAAAAAAAAAACCCAAACATGTGCCTAATATTCTGAATGCAATGTCATATTTTTGTCTTTTGTTTTTTGTTTTTAAAAATATGACATTTTATGCATAGTAGCACACGTGTGTGTGTGTGTGTGTGTGTGTGTGTGTGTGTCTCCTTACGCTGCCCTTTGAATAAATGTGGTTCCGGAGAAGTTCTTGAAGTTTGGGTTTGGCCTGAGGAGCAAATGAAAGCAGGTTGTGAGTCAGTTGACTGCTGTTGTGGTCGTTTTTTTTCCGCTGGCACGCACATCATTGAGCATGTAGAGGATGCTGCCGTCTCTGGCGTTGTCCACGGCCTGGTTACTGGGGATGAAGACGGTCAGAGGCCCTGGGCCGTTCAGGGGCAGGATCGCACCGCAATTCTGCACACCACGCACGCACGCACGCACGCACGCACGCACACACGCACAAGCTCAAAACAAGTCTTGAGATGGCTTCCGAATCTTTTGACGAATCGAGATGTTGTTTTCAAAAACAAGATTTTTATCTGTGTTTGTCTAACAGTTGAAATTGTTCATCATTGTTTTAAACAGCATAGACTGGACCCCCGCCAAGGGACCCAGTCAGCCAGTGAACAGCGACACTCTGCCAATGACTGACACAAAGAAAAAAAAAAAAAAACAATAAAAATGTTTTTGGAAAAAAATATTGAACAACTCAACTCAACATGAGTGTTAATGTTGTGTTTATTCTTTTTTGTGCGACTAATTGTTTCTACTGCCTTTGTTTTTATATGTCAGATTTTTACTTTACGTCCAGACGTTTCAGTCATGGTTCTGTTTGAAGTGCTCAATAAATAAAGTTGAGTTTAATAGTACAGAAATTTGGAGCTATTTTCCCATGACCGTTCTTTTTAAAAACAAAAAAAAACATTACCGGTACTCTTAGTATGTCAGGTAACTTAAAATAAAAATAAAATTGGCACATAAAAAAATATAAATACTGTCGATAAAACCGCCTTCCAAAAACTGGAAAAATTCTCTCTGTATTTTTTCTAAACAACTCAAATATTTTTTCCTTTTTGATTCAAATGAGAATAAAAATAGCAGTTTTTACAAACATAAAATATAGTATCAGCCCGTGATATTTTAAAATCATTTTGACTCACATCAACGAGTGACAGGAAGCGGTTGAAGGCGGGCTCTTTTCTCACAACCTCCCCGATGTTCAATGTTGCGAACTTCCCCCAATAAAAAAAAAAAAAAAAAGACATATCACAAAATTATTTTTCCTATTCATATTGATATCATGGTACATCCTGCATATATTGAGTAGTGTACTGACCTCTGCTAGACGAGGAAGAGGAACAAGAGCAGGCAGGTCGTCAGTGGGGCCCGTGATTGGCCGGTCGATGATGTGGATGATGCCGTTGGCGGCCGGCAGGTCGGCCTGGACGACAGCATACACCCGCGTGGGATCGTGCAGCATGATGAAACGCTAGCGAGGACACAACGCACAAATGCAAAAATCAAAGCATGTCAACGATCATTCACGCCTCGTTTATTTGAATTGGACAAGCAAGGAATTGAAATTTGCCTTGCTCGTCCAAATTTCAATTCCCCTTCGGAGCAAATCTTACTTTACAGTTCAGAAGGATAAAAAAAAAAAAAAAAAAAAAGTGGGTATGATGGAGTTTTTAAAATTTTTATCAGTTGAGGAATTACAAAAACAAAATGTATACATATTCATTTTTTATTTATAAAAAAAAGACACAAATTAGGAAATATTTATTTATTGTCTCTGAAAACATGAAAAGATGTTGGATTTAATATTTTATATTAGAAATAAAAATTTCAAGACATGACATTTTCATTTCAATGTATTTTTTTCAAAATATGTGAGTGGTTACTTTTCCGGTTGAAAATTATTATTTTTTTGGTATATTTAAATAAAAAGTCAGATAGAGCTAATGCCTTTTGTGTTTTTAATTTTCATTCAGATTTTCTTAAAATGCGGATGTGTTCTATTTTTACATGTTGAAATGTTTTATTGGGAAAAACAAGAAAATCACCTTTCTTGGTGTTTTGGAAAAAAAAAAAATTAAACAAATGACTAAAACATATCTCACCAAGGATAAGCAAATTCCCCCAAAATGTCAAAACTATTTTCCCATGACACCCTTAAAACTGCTGGGTTAGAAATAACCCATATTGGGTTGCCATCATTTTTAAGGGTGGAGGAAATAAGGTCAAAGGAACTCAATTAGGAGGTTTTCCAAGGGTGGAGTATTTGGGACCTTTTGTTTGCTGCCTCATTGGTACCTTGTTGTCTTTGCACTTCATTTTGGCGCCTCCGTACATGTTGAACTGTCGGCCGTCCGCCATGTCCCGCAGCAGGTGCTGACCCAGGATCAGGTGGTCGCGACATACCCTCTCCTCGTTCCCAGACTGCAAGTGCAAAGCGGAAGCGCCCGTCAAGATGGACATTCATGTCTCCGGAGCAATGGCGTCATAGTATTTATTGGAGGGCGAGGCGGTAAGAATAGCCCGATCCTCGTACGCTCGGAGACGTTTGGAGCTGAGGGACGAAAGCCGTGAACGGTCCGTTGTGAGTCATCAGCGATAGACAACCTTTGACTGAAACACAAAACGGAAATACCATTAGAATAATGCACAAACATCAGCAGTCACAAGTTATTGTTGTCTAGTCTTCCATGCAGTAGAAATGCATACATAATGTATTTTTTAGATTATTATAACTTCTACTCATTATTTCGGGATTAAAAATAATCAATGTGAATGCATAATTATTGTTCTTATGTATGTATAGGGCGGCCCTGTGGGCGAGCGGTTAGCACGTAGACCTCACAGTGCAGAGGTCGTGGGTTCGATCCCAGCTCCGGCCTTCCTGTGTGGAGTCAGGATAAGTCGCTTTGATGCTGCGAATAATTTACTGCTTCGTTTCATTGAACTAACTTGCAAAGTTTGGGCTTCTTAAAGCTTGTATGTGCTGGTACATATTCATGACATTATACGCGGGAAAAGCTACAGCCGCGTACCGTATCGAAGAAACTCATTGAATCGAACAAAATCGAATCGTTCCACTTGAAAATGGACTGTTCATTGTGGCATGGCTATTATTACTTTTTTAAAGTCTGGCAAGAAACCGAGTAGGTGCGTAGTGTACGGAGTGTCATGTTGATACCAAAGAGTTCGAAGGCCCCCATGAGTTTGTTTTTCTGGACTCCGTTGCGGTTCAGGTCCTGCAGACGATCCATCATGTTACCATAGCAACGGCGCCCATCGCTGATCTCGCCCGGCATGCACACACACCTGACCAAAAAAAAAAAAAAAAAAACCAAAAGGCACACATGGAGAAACTGCATGACTTGTTCAAGTCCGTTTGTTCTTGTCATCCGTATCAAATTCATTGAATTTAGACAAAAGTGTGTCTGACATGGCATTTCCATCCAGTCCAGTTTCACAAACGGCCGACGAGTGACAGGTGCCCGCCGAGCAGGACGAAAGCAGCCGGCAGCCCGACTTGGGGCTGGCCCCCACCGGAGCCATCCCGGACATGCACTCGCAGGCCGCCTGGAAGACAAAAAAATAAAAAATTCAGATGTCACGCTCGTCATCAGCCTCGGAACGGCGCAGCTCATTGACCGCACCTTGTTGGGCCCCTTAAAGACGCAGACGGTGCTGTTGAGGGGACAGCCGCCGTTGTTGACGGCGCAAGGATTTTTGGGTACGCAGACGCGGCCGTCACCCTCAAAATCGGCCTTGCAGGCGCAGCTGACCTTTGACCCCTGCGTGGAGCACTGAGCGTTGACGTCGCAGCTGCTCGACACGCACATGCCTTAAAAAGATCAACAAATAAAAAGTAAAAATTTCCAATACAAAGAGGAACATAATCGGAAAGTGCACCTCTACCTTTAAAAATCTACGCTGGTCATTTAAGTCCATCTCATTTAATTTTGATTTCCAACTTCAGCCTATTTGACCTTTTGGTGGCCACTCGTGGCCAATGGAAACCCATGAAATCTACATTTGGGTCATTTGTGTAAAATGATGACCAATTTTTTCATTTTTGGACAAGAAAGCAGCAATTTGATGTGAACGAAAGGGTCGGGCGTCATGTTTACTTGCGCATTTGTTCTTCGGCGACTTCCTGTATCCTGGCAAACATTGGCAAGTGGCGGCGTCTCCTTCTCCTTCGCAGTATGAGTATGCGCCGCACGAGTTGCACCGGTTGTTCACTGAACACACAAAAAAAAAAAAAACACGCACAAACACACAGTCTCAATGAGCACACAGGACGACTGGGTGAATCTTTGGAAGCATGTGGACTCTTTGACAAGGACACGATCGTGTGCTTGTGCTAAAAACTACAAAAATGGCTGCTCTAGCTTGACCCTGTTCATGGAAGACACTGGCCCCTTATGATTGATTGGCATGGCAAAAATTGCACACCAAAAAAAGGAAGAAAAAGGAAAACTGAACTGTAAGGGAAGTAAATCAACTTATTTGGTCAAATTTATGATAACATTTCATTATAATTCCTCATTTTTTATCACATTTCATTTTATTTTTTATATTTCATTTAGATTTCACTAAATAAATATATAAACATATTTGTTTTAATAGTAATTAGATTTTCAATCAATGTTTAAGCATAATTGTTATTTTTTTTAATCACATCATTGTTGTGCAATTACATACAACATAAATTTGATGTGCTAAATTAAATGATCTTGATTTTGAATGAGGTTCTAAAAATAATGATCTTGTACCCACGCTACAATGTGGATTTTATTTTACTATATGTAATAAGTGAAGAGAAGGGGCGAGTGCGGCGCATCACCTTGGTCACATCGCTTCCCCGCGTACGGCGGCTGACAGAAGCACTGGCCGCTGCCCTCGGGGCCTTGCTCGCACACGCCGTGCTCGCAGTCGCACGCTAGCACAAAACACGCAACAGCACAACACAACACAACACATACATTGTCAAGAATACACACAGAATACAGCGACGTAATCTTCGGTCATTTCTAATGTAGTCCAGCGCGCATGTGAGCTCTGACCTTTGTCACAGTTGCTGCCAAAAGTGTCCTCCTTGCTACACGTCTGGCACGCAAACCCACTGAAGCCTTCCTGGCAACACGAGGTGGTAGGAGCAAGTGTTACACAATGGCAGGATCAGGTACTCGAGGCAGCAGGAATAGGTAGTAATAATGGCAGCGGTAGGAACATGCTGATGTCGTGGGGCGAGTGACAGAAACTGTAACAGGGTCACTGGGAGCGGCTGGAACAGGCAGCAGAGAGTTGAAGCAACAGGAACAGGTAGAGAGGCAGGAGCAGGGACTGGAACAAGGAGCAACAGGAAAAGACATAAGAAGCAACATCAACAGGCATTAGAAGCAGCAGGAACAGGCAGAAGAAGATGAAGGAAGAGGAATAAAAAGCAGCAAGAGCAGGAATGGAATAAGAAGTAGCAGGAACAGGGAGAAGAGATAGGAGGAATAGGCATGAAAAGATGCAAGAACTACATGCAAAGCAGAAGGAGCGTGAATAAAAAGCAGCAGGAATGGGCAGACATAGCAGGAACAGGCCTGAAAAGCAGCAGGAACAGGAAAAAGCTGCAAAATCAGGAATAAAAAGGACCGTGGTAGAAAAAGGCAGTATAAGGAGCAGCAACGGGCATGAGAAGCAGCAGCAACAGGCAGTAGAGGGTAGCAGGAACAGGCACGAGAAGTTGATGCGACAGGCATGCAGGAAAGGTACTGACGTCACAAACGCAGGTCCCGTTGCCGAGGTCTCCATCCATGCAGGTTCCGTGGAAGTTGCAGGTCTTCCCCGACCAGCTGGGACAGGCTGGGGCCAGGTCAGCAAGAATGGGGGTCACTTTCAAGCATTTTGCACTTCAAGTGGATATTTGATTACTTTGAACTTTGGCCACTAATTAATTATTTGACTTTTTCAACCAAATGTTTAAAAAAAAAAAACATAAAACAAAAAGCGTGCAGTAATCATTTGTCAAATTTTGCAAGCGACTCACGGAGACAAAGTGGCCCCCAGTGCTGCGGGCAGCATCGTGGCTGCATGAAGCTCTTAACGCAAAGGCGGTGGCATCCGTCCAGTAAGACTTTATTGCCGCCGATCTGGACCAGGTAGCTGCAGTTCTTGACGCCGCTGTTGGTGAAGCCGCGCGGGCACAGACTGCTGGTCACCGCCGCGCAGGACGTGCACACCGTGTACATGTCAAGCCTCTGCGGGATGTCACAGCGGCCGGGCGGCTGCGTCTATCGCAGGACCAGGGTCAAAATCAACCATAGGTTAAGTTGAAGAAAACAGTCAATTGTAAATATTCAGCAAGTTTCTTTTTTTTGGGGTCAAATTAGAAAAAAAGTTTTCAGTCCTAGAAATTTTCGACTGGTCTTACAATGATCATGTAAAATAGTACTACTTTTTATCTATTAAAAAATCAACAACAAAGTGTGTGTGTGTGTCACCTGTAGTTGCAGTGAAGATTGTAGTCCTAGTAAGTGTACTAGCAGCAGTAGCAGCATGGTTGAGTGTCCTGATTAAAAAAATGAAAAAAAAAAAAAAAAAAAAAAAAACAACCCCCCAAAAAATGATGCAGCCAGAGGGCACAAAAAAAAGAAAAAGGGGGGAAAAAAATGTACGACGACGAGGCACAATAAAGTAAAACAATATATATATATATATATATATATATAT